AAAAGTTTTACTGGTTTCTATGGGGCATTTTTAGTAGGGCAGCTAAATGCTTTCTCAATGATCTCATCCGAAACTTTTATCCAGACCTTCATAAATTTCTTAAAATTAGAATTTGAAATACTTCCTTGCCTCCTTTCCACAAGTGCTGAGAGAACGTGCCAGAAAAGTTAACATTTCTATGTAGGTGAATGCTTGGACTACGTAATAACGTTGACCTTCGGCTACCAACTAAATATTTTGCACTGTTTTTCACTTATTCGTTAAGCTTTATTTAAAATTTATTTTTATAGTTAAAATGAATTTTAATTGTTGAAAATTATTATAATTTTTGTCAAGGAATTTATTTAATAGTATTTAATGCCTATTATAAAATCTTTATTTATATAACCACAAGATATGTTTCAGAGCTTATATATTATTGTTTCAGGGAATATTCTCGAAGTATGGGAGTCGGAAGCTCTGCAAATAACCCTCGCCCCGGTACAACTGTAATGGTAGCCTCAAAGCGCCCCCAGACTTCTATCTCTGGACATTCTGTTCTCTCTTCTGAAAGATCTAATGACCACAGAAGTTCTGAGCACCATGATACCAGCAACAGACCCACGAATTCGTGCTGTTCTCACTTTCGAGAGAATCACGCTGCTGCCACACGGACAGTCACACCAGTAACACGGACTGCACCAACAAATGGCAGTATCGATGACGAAATCGAAGAAATTGTGGCCAATACCTTGGACTTAACAACTAACACTAGAAATTCTAGGCAATCTACCTCTGTTGCAAGAGATAATCATAGCAGCGAAGAAACTAATACGAGTACCGAGGGTGTTCAGAGTACATCTGAACATCAACGGACGTTACAATCTGGTAGTAATAGAATACCTCAGAAGAGGTCGAGCTCCGACGAAATTGATGCAGAAAATGATAGTCATTACGATGCCAAAGTAAGTAACGATTTATGATCAAAAATTTAGATTATATAAAACATTTTCAATATTTATTTAACTTACAATAAAGTTTCGCACATTTAAGGAACATTTTTATGAGCCGAATCACATTTAAAAAAATTATTCTAAAATGATCGAAAGCCACTGATGGCTAATGTATACATTCATCTTTATAAAACGACTGTTATTAGTAAACTCTGACCCCAGGCTATATCAGCCAGATCCCCTCTAAAAATGCCACTAAGATGGCCTACAAAAATTTTAAAACGCGACAAGAGGCGTATTGGAAAATATGTATCGTCTCCGAAAGCTCTTTAGATTGCTTTAGTAAAGAAGCTTACCGATCGGAAGGACAATAGCTTAAAAATGTATCACATAAAAGAAAATAACGAATTTCCCTTTGCATATAGAATTCAAATAATATATATTTGCATTGAGAATATAGCTTAATTTTTTATTTTGAATATTAAATTAATTAACGTTAAAATTATAGATTTTTCAGAAAGGAGACAGTATTGAGCTTGATAAGTTCAATAGTATTCAAATCACCAGTAGACTCAGTTCTAAAATGACTTGCCTGTATTTAAAATTGTTTTGTTAATGATGCAAGTAATCCGTCATTTGTACATCAGCTAATTACATCAGCTAATTGTGAGCTAAATTAAGCTAAATCGTTGAGTAATGATATATAGTGAGAGTTGAATAGTAAACTTCAGAGTCTTGAATAGTAAACCTCAGCTGAAACCAGAATAAGAGCCAATTGAGGACCAAAATGCTTTTGCGTTACTGACTAAAATTGGACAGATTGCTATATTTATTTATATTTTCACCAATTTTCTGCAGGTCTTTGCTTTTAAAAAGCAGACATTTATTGTGTTTCACTTACTAATTTTTAAACTTCCTACATAGTTTTTTTACAAGTGTATCATTAACAAGGAATATAAAAAAAATTTTAAAGTCAATTGCTACTTAGGGCAACCAAAGAAAAATTTAAAATTTAAAAAAAAATGTAAAGGCAAATAATACAAAAAAATTAATTAAAAATTTTAAATTTTTTAACAAATTTTTTAATTTTTAATTAATTTTTTTAAATGTAAAAAGACTGTATTAACATTGAGACATTACATTTTTAATATGTAAAAAGACTGTATTAACATTGAGTGTCATCCACTACATGTTGAAAAAATGTATTTGAACTGTGGACGAATATAAAGTATTTTATCAACGACTGAAAGTTTGAACAAGATATAGGGAGAGTGTGAGCTAATAGTAAGAATTTAAAAAGAATAAATCTCGCGTTCAAACTCCAGATTTAGCGTATTCGTTTGAGTTAATGTGTAACTTCAGTTCTGAGAAATTTTAAATCACTGTTCATTTATTTAATGAATAAAACACTTGCTTAGGTTAATATTGCATTTTGTAACCATGTCTCTTTACTTAATTTCTCAGACATTTATAATTTCATTTAAGCTATTGGAAGACAATTTAAATAAAGAATCTTTTCCTACAAAGCAGAAAATTTGTACAGCCAAGCTAAACGACTCTATTATAGAAGAAGGAAAAATAGAGATTACACGCTAAAATTGTTTGAAATAAATAGAAAATGCCTTACATTGTGTTAAGAGAAAGTCTGAAATTTCTTTTGAATTCCGAAGAGGTTGATTTCACAACAGATTATAAAGTGCAATTTTCGAAGAGTGAGGAAAAACGCTTTTTTATTCTGAATTAATCAAGTGTTTTAGAGAAGTCTCGACATAAAAGAAAATTAATTTGTTTTTAAAATTATTTCACGAATTTAATAAATAAATCAAATACTTTGCTTTAAATCAATTAAATTGTATATATTTTGTAAGACTATCTCTTAGATGTATCGAATGCTTTAAATACAAGGAAAAAATTGCGGGGATAATGTTTAAAAATATATTTGGGAAAAAAGCAACTTAAAAAACGAAAACTTGAAATTCAACTAAACATTTATTTGCATTGGTTTAAAATCAAATTTCTGAAAAGGGTATCCAATTTTATTCATTATTAGTCGTCACACATTTTTAACTATAACTTTACAATAACAAAAATTTCTCATTACCTTCAAAGAGAATTGATAACTATTCCTTTAATTTGCATTATGTGGAAGAATAATCGGTGTAACTGATTAATAATTAAAGCTTCCTCTTTGAGATAACACTTAGGAATTATGACATATAGAATAATGTTTTAAATTCTGAAACGAAGAACTGTTCAAACATTTTGTTTTGATTTCAAATTTATGCTTTTTATAAAATAAGGTTTGTAATATATTCTGATGGACAGATTTTAAAACTGTTTAACATCTAGAAGGACTGCAGTATTAAAAATGATATATTATGTTTAACTGTATTCTTAAATCTTTCCTATACATTTTAACAAACATTTTGAGGAAAATGTAAGACTGAAATAAACGTATTAATCTACAAACATTTTACGAATTGTTCATTACTTATTTTTACATTACTTCTTCTGACATGCTGTGAAAAAATACATTCATATGGCGCAGCAGTAGCAAATTATTAACATAGATTTGCCAACATTTCCCTCTTCCGGTATGATAAAAAAAAGGAAGCTAACGTAAGCTTTAATATTTCTCCTGAAAATCTGCACTTGTTTTTCTAGACTAAAGATTCGTCTTTTTAAGTTAAGTTAGATAATAGTTCTTGTTGCGATAAAATATAATGTCCAGTTTCTATCCTGTTTTGAATTACTGAACGATTTCTAGTCTGTCTTCTTTGGTGAGTTTTTGTTTTTTTACTGTTATTCATGTTAATATAATCGCTACATATAATAAAAGAAAGAGTCTGTCTGCATGTGTGTCTTTCGTTCGTGCTGCGCGTAATCTAATAGACTCAGGGCTATGAAATGTGGTATACAGGTGCATCTAGATTTTTCAAAATTCGCTCAATTTTTTTTTATCTTTTCGATTTTATCGCATCATTTTGAACAGCTTCATTGTTTTAGAAATGCAGTTTTGGCAACAGCTTTTTATTGAATGCTTTGTATACTGGAATGCTGACTGTTGAAAATATGAGATAAAATGCTGCTTATTTTCTTTTTATTCTTGGACACGTAACACGCACATTGCAATCTTTTTATTATGACGCTCATGTGTCTAGCGAGGCACAACAGAATGAATTTCCATTTTTTCCCTCTCTCTGTCTTTATTAGCTAATGGCAAAGAGGTTTGTATATTTTGAATTATGTCATCCACAAAGCACAATTTTGATTGGTTGTTGCTTTCTGATGACAGTTTATACCTTCTGAGATAATCTTTTAGAAATGTGGTTTTGGCAACAGCTTTTCATTCAGTGCTTTGGGTACTGGGCTGTTGACCGTTTTCTCTTGAAAATATGAGGTTTATTGCTTATTTTATTGTAATTTTTTTAAATATTATGTTTTAATTAAATAAAATGTTTTGCATGATTGTTTTAGGAAACAAAATTCTTAACTTCCTTACAACGGGAATTTGGTTAATTTATTTATTAGGATAATTAAAATTTTATTAAGGGATTTCATTGTAATTTTTTTTAATATGTGATGCATTTTTAATGAATTTTTTTTTTGATAAAGTTGTTCTGCAGAGTAAAATTCTGTGTAGGTTTTAAATTTAATGTTTGGTGTTCCCTTTAGGTATTTTTACGGTACATTTAAAAGCCAGACGAAGGCTGGCCCCGTAGCGGATAGTCTTAAATAAAAAGAGTGATTGTAATACACACCATGTCCACAAGAATCCTTACTCGGCGTTTATTTTTATAACTGTTCGTCGTAGACACATATTTCCAGTTACAGGAATGCTTTAATTGACGTAAATATTCACGCTTTAACATTCCGAATAAAAAAAAATTAATTTTATGAGACTGACAAAATTTAACTATTTATATATTCTTCCGTGTTCTTCAATACAAAGTGCCAAGATCGAAATCCTTTGTGTATAACTAAAAATAAAATTTCGGTTTAGAAAAAGTTTTTTTTTTTTTGTTATTAGATTAAGTGACGGGCATTTCAATGCAGATTATTGGGAAATGTATTAATCAATATCTAAGAATATACTGTAGAGTCATTAGATTATGTTGATGCTGAAGACGTGAACAATTAGCAATGCCCTCGTCGGGAGTCGAACCTGAACCTTTCGAATATTCACCGAGTGTGCTACCGTTACACCCCGAAGGTATGCAGGAAGGGAGGGAGAAAATACCTTATATACTTCCCCTGTTAAAGGGTGACTGGGGATTAGGGGATCCAGTTGCTAAATCCTGGTGGTTAAGAATTATCATCCGCCACCTGTTTAGTTCAGGCCCCACTGCAATGTTTAGTTCACCTGTTTAGTTCAGGCCTGTTTAGTTCAGGCCCCACTACTACTTTAATACTTGTACTGAATTATATCTGAGATAATATATATGTTAATTTAATCTATATTACATTATATTTTCAGATATCGCTATATCTGAGATAGGATGACAAAGTCTTACGAAGGTTATAATAGAACCTGTTTATTTAAATAGAACTTTGTGCACAAAGGCAAGACTTTTTGTGCTACAATAACCACATCTCCTGGTAATAGAAATAAATAAGAACAGTAAATTCAAATTAAACATTCATTAGTCGAAATCCACACAATTAAATAAAGCTATAAGTTGGCTGAATAAATTACCGGCGCTTCAGATTAAAGCATCGTCGGCGAAAGAACGCAAAGCCTAGATATATCACAACTGCTTATATAAACTAAGCACTCTGCGCTACTCCCAGGATTTCTCACTCAAGATTAAAACACATCAGTATAAGTAAACAGACGGTTAATCTGCATTCTGGTGAGAAATACGGAAATAAAATGTTAAAGTACAGATCTAAATTATAATAACTGGTTAGTTTAAAATAATAACCTTGCAGACGTAATTTGTGTTCAACACTATTGCATGATCATACCGAATACATGTATTCGAAAACACTAGGATGCAATCAACTAATAAAACTATTTGCATCAATTCAAAATACTTAAAATATAGCTAATTTAATGATTTTTGTATAATTATTTATAATGTAATGATAAATTTTTGAGGAATACTGAAATTATTGCGCTGACTTGCTAGACATCAAGAAAAAGAGGCGAAGAATAACGTCATTGGTTATAAGCATTTATACACATTGAAGGATTTAAAATAAATTACATTTCTTACCAAATTTTAAAAACAAAATTTATTGCACTCATTTCAACAATCATTTCAGAATAAAAATAACAAAAAACGGTCTTACCGATAGATATATCTTTCCCACGAAATACTTAAAGCTTATCAATGGTGATAATGCGTTTTGGTTTATTTAAGTGCGTCAGAGTATGCAAGGGCTATTTGTCTAAGAAAAAGAATGCCTGTTTGAGTACTTTTTTTAAAAAGAACGGACTCCTACCCACGTTACATATGGAGAAAGGCACGAAAATACCTGAATTCGGGTCGAACTCTTAGCGTTCAGCGACTTTACCAATCGGTAGCTGATGAGCCTTGATGATAACGAAATTACATTCTACACGGATATCTTAAAATATAAAAGTAGCAATAGTGCAATGAAATTAAAATTTAATAGTTTGTAAGGTAATATTTACTGTAAAATTTTCAAAGTTTGCTGCAAGAATTACAGAGAGCATTTCAGTCTATTCGGGCATTGCTTGTATAATGGCAACACTGGCATTCTGTCAAAGCTGAAAAACAATTTATTGGACATTAAGACACCCGAGTCTAATAACGTGCTTATTAAAGAAAATTGGAAATATGATTCAATTTATATTTCCATAAGTTCCATTATATTTCTACAAGTATATTATATTATAATTCACTTTATATTTCCATATTTGTCAAGATTATACCTATTCACATAAGAGGATGTATATTTGAATAAAACATTCGTAATTAACTTTTAATAAGTCACTGAAGGAACATAATATGAGTTATTAGAATAATAATCTAAACTTATTTTGGAGCTCATATGTTTATTTATCAAACACTGTTCGATTCCAGTTCGATTCCTTAGATCATACATCTTTACCGATTTTTGTGTATTTACTATTATTTAACGTTAATGAAATTATTACGCATCTTAAGTCATATCAATTTCTTTTACCAAAAGTATAAATAAAATAATCATAACTAGAAACCATCAAGGACTTGAAATAAGCCAAAAACAAAACTTTAATTTGTCATAGATTTTGAATAAAAATCCCTCTTTGATAATAATTTGTTTTTGTTCCTGAAGAAGAGCAACCTGTGTGCGGTTTCCATCGAAATCTATAGAGTATTTTCAATATCACCAGACAGAAAGCTTTTTTGAATAATTTTAAATATTACATTATCATATTTTTCTTTCATTTGAATTAAGGCTTTTTAATTTTTGTGTCATTTTTTGAAATTCATAAACATAAACGTAATATCTTAAATAGCTAATTAAATAACATAATAAAATTGCTCTTCTGCAAAAGAATTCTTAAAACTGATATATATTTATTATGATCGCTTATTACTTCATTTCACTTCCCATTTTTCTCCATATGTAACTAGCATGTTCATACCGTTTTTATCTGTGATCTTGATTTAAAATTTTATGTTAAGCATAAGAAATATATTTAAACATAAATCAATTCTGGGTATGAGTTTTTCTTTAAGAATTCCATTGATTATGTTTTAGAATATTTGATAATATTTTTGAAAAAAAGAAATTTTCAATCGTTTTTATTAGTTCCTTGAAAAGATAATGCACTCATATTTAATAGTAACGCTCCTTTCTACTTTTTCCCTCTTGTAATAAATATCCTCATTCACTTTACAGTTAATTTACAAAAATTTAAGACTATTCAAGAGAAATAAGGATTAAATGAAACATTTTTCTACTGTTTGTTTCCTTCTTATAATGCCACACAGCTTTTAGAGAGTTCATAGAATTGCTGCAACTCTTGGGAAGTTCTTTCTAGTGGGCTTCGTAGAAAGTAACCAATGGAATACTCCTGAATATCTTCATTACGTTTCGAAATGTTTACTTCCGCTTTACTTCAAAAAAGAAAAATGGAATTTCTGCCAAATCTGAGGAATAAAGAAAAGGATTAAGAACAGCTACTTTTCCTTAGAATAAACTACTTTAATAAAATGGTTGCTATGCACAAAGCAAACATTTATTCCATACTATTTTCAGTCATATCAAAGTAAATATCAGTTACATAAAATGCAGTTTAATATATTTAATTTAAATTGCTCTTCGTAAGCAGACTGCATTTTCAAGAAAGTAAGTTTTCATATGATAGTATTTTTAGTTATCAATTAATATCTGGTAGCTTCAGTATCATTATTGAAAATATTCAGTCACAAGACGTTGTTAACGCATTATGCGTTTGAAAGATATATGTCCTGGAATGTCGATAATAGTTTGCAAAATTAATGATATCAGGAGAAATTATGAATGAAAAGAACTTGTTTTGCAAACTTAGGCTTTTCGACAAAGCCTTCTCTCATAATATTTATGGATTATATTTTATAATTTGCATTGATATTTGGATATCTTTACTTTTTTTTTCGGTATGGAGAGAAAAAAAAACGTGTTTCCAGTTTCAGTACGAGAATATAATAAAAATTCTTCATTATGGAGGACTATAAAAGACATTATTTTATGTTTAAGAATATGAACTAAAGAAAGTATTATTTTGCTACTAGGGGTATTTCTATTTATTAGTTTCTTTAAAGTTTCATAAAAAATTATTACTAAATCGTAATAATCTTAAGATTATTATGATTTAGTAATAATTTTTATCTCAAAACTGTTAACTAATAATAATTAATTAAGATACAATAGCACGCCGAACAAGTATTAATTTAGAAGTCAAACAACAAAAATCAGCATTGCAAATTTTCACAGGACTAGTTTCGATGGATTTACCGAACCATCATCCTTAGCTGCAAAAGATAATTAATTTAGAAGTCAAACAACAAAAATTAATGATAGTTAAATGACCTAAATTAATGATAATTACAACACATTCCAATTCAGCTTGGAATAAACATATGCAAAAACCAGATACCAGAAGCATAGTGGCAAGATGCAAGAAAAACGGGGCAAAACATGACAAAAGCAAAAGTGAAAAAGAAATTTACATTTTTTCTACATTGTCATCAGCGGTTGGTGCAACGGAAGGAGTACATAAATCAGCCAGCCTGTTTCTGAATAAATAAAGACACAAACTGAAGTTTGAAACTAATCTCGGGAAAGTAACCAAAATAATATGGGTCTTTATCAGTTCCAACCCTACAGGCCGAAGTAAGCTGTAAGAACAATTGAAAAATTATAGTATCAAAAACTTAAAGAAATTTTTAAAAAGTTTAAAATTATTATTTTGAGTCCACCGAGTTCAAATAACAAAACCTGAAACTACAGGCAATCCAACAGATGCAAAAATAACAAGAATCGTAAATAAGTTTTTAAACATCACAGGCTGTGTTAAACATTTAAAAAAATTATAGCATCAAAATCATAAACAAGAAAAAAAAAATCTGAATGCTTTCAAATTCTACATTACGCCCTAGGGGGCGTTTTTTAACGATTTGTGTGTTACCTTTATTTAATAAATATCGTGTTCTTTGCACTTAAACCATAAAATTCAATTCAACAGCAATATCGCAAAATAATTTTAAAATAAGCAAAGCTTTAGGATTTCCGATACACAATATCGCACACTGGAGATAAAAATGTGTTCTTTTTTCGTAAATCATTGCCATTGCTCTCTTTGAAATTGTTGAGTTTGTTAATCAAAAATTCGTTGAAGTGTTACAAAATATGAAATCGATAATAAAACAAATTCCAAATTAGAAATTTGGGTTTTCAAATGCCCATATTCGGTGGAAGATTTCGTAATTAAAATTTTGATGGCTCTAGATACCGCTGTTTTATCCCAATACGAGAAACATACATATATGTATGCAAATTCTTCATTATTTAATTTCTTTAAAAATAACACAGGTCGATAATATTTGGCGGCAGCAATTTGAAAAGTGAACCGAAATTTATAGTGAAATAAAGCAAAATGCCAAAACTAAATATTAGTTAGGGTTAGTTCTTATAATCTGTAACATTATAACAACAAAAGTTTTGAAATGAAAAAATATTAGAGCAACCAACGTTTAGGAAAAATATACTTGAACTATTTAGTAGCTAAGCCTAAACTGTACTAGGTAATGAATTTAGATAAACTCAAGAATTTAAAACAAAGAATTTAACCAATTAATGTTACTGAAAATAATTAGAAAAAGCTACATTATAACATCAAGTATGGTTTAGAAAAAAAAAAAAGTTTGTAAAAGATAAAAACATTGAATTACCTGGATTATAAAACCAAAATAAATCTAGAAGCAATCCAAAAGTTATATGTGATGTAAATAAGCTTCGTAAGAGCGTATATTTGTCCTCGCATAATTTTTATAGACATATTTTTAATGACGTCATTTTTAATACGTATTGATGGTTAACCTTGATTTAATTTTTCAAGAATTATAAAATTAGCAATATTTATGATGTATCGCAAATTTTTTAACATTCTGCATTCGGAAATTTCAGGATGCAGTGCCGGAAGTTGATTTTGCCAAGTTTAAAAAAGTCAACCATAAGGTAAGATGCATGATTTAAATTCGCTTATTCAAGTTCTGACTTACTCTTTTCACTTTTCTTGCCTCATTTCAACATAAAGCGTCTTAAACCTTTTACTTTCGGATTCTTGTCAGTTTCTTTTGTCAGTTTTGCTTAAAAAATGATTGAATTATGTTGTTCTTATCTTCCGGTTAAGGGTTTTATGCGCTTAGTTAACCTGAATGTTATCGTTGTAGAATTATCAACAATTTAAAACTTGTTTAAGTGCGGCTAAGCCTAATTTTTGTTTACCGTAGCATCCATATGTGTTTACACTTTAAACATATCAGAATAATGAATTTATTGCCAATCTAGAGAAACTAAGCTTAGGAACAACAAAGTAACGTCTCCTTTATTACGGCGAATTAGATTATTCTTAATCCATTCTGGAATTATCATTTAAGTTATTAAATTATCCCATATATTGACTCAGCGTCCACACAAATGAAGTCAGTTTCTGCGCTTCAATGTCTTTTTTCCGAGTGTGACCAAAAGTAAACTTTCAGTTTTGTGCACCGAAAAATCTGCCTTTTTGGCCGAATTGCTTGTTTTTTGCGTAGAAACTGTAATTCTAATTATAAAATTTTTTAACTGTATTTGGTGTTTTATATTTTTCTATATCTTTCAATTTTTAATATAGAAATTTTGAGTTTTTATGTATTTTTGCCTTGTCGCGAAGTCAGAAGTTAATTAATTGAACAAAAAATATATGTCTAGTGAGATTTAATGAAATAAATTTAAATGAAACGCAGGAAAAAATGCGTATAATTTAATATTCCTTACAAGGATGTGGTGTGCACATCATATTTTTGAAATAATAATTTTATTGCTAATGCTGGGTATTTAGCACACTTGTCACACATATTTTAGATGATAACAATGATACAATAGGAAAATATAATTAAGCATAATTTTCTTGGGAAACTAATAATTATATAAGTATCACTTTAATTTTGCCTTATGTTAATAAGAACATAAATAATATTTCTAAGTACACAATCACATACATAATGACTGTATATTTTTGAAGATGCTTAACAAGAGAAAGGAATAGTATTCAAAATGCTCTCACGTATATGAGTTTGGTATATTAACAGCTTAAAGACATACTAATAAAATTATGTAAATTCGTTTTCTCTTAATGCAGAAGTTCAGGATTAAACAATACACTATCTTAATAATACAAGGGGTGATCAAATGAAAAGGTACGAAACGACACGGTGGGTACAAATATAGACTTTATTCAAAATACACACCATAGGCCTGAGCACAACGATCCCAATGATGAACAAGCCGGAGGATTCCTTGTTCCCAGAATTCCTGTTGCCGTGACGAGACCCAGTCCTTCACAGCGTCCTGGAGTACGTCGTTCGAGCTAAGCGCTTCCCTTTCAGGTATTTCTTCAGTGGACCAAACACATGGAAATCGTAGGGCGACATGTCCGGACTGTAGGGCGGATGATCCAACGTCTCCCACTTGAACTTGGCCAGTTCCATGTGTGTGACTCTGGAGACGTGTAGACGTGCGTTATCATGCAGCAAAAACACACCCTCTGTGGGCAGCCCCGGTCTTTTGTTCTTGAAGGACCTGCACATGCTTCGAAGTGTCTCACAGTACACATCGGAGTTAATGTTTTTTTTTTTTTTTTTTTTTTGTGCTCGAGAAATTCCACAAGTAGCGGACCTTGAACGTCGAAAAAGACGGTGAGCAACACCTTGCCTGCTGATGACACGGCTTTGAACTTTTTAGGGGGAGGTGACGACACATGCTTCCGCTACATGCTGTCCCGCTTTGTCTCTGGCACGTAGTGCTGGCACCAGGTCTCATCGCCTGTGACAATCCACTCCATGAAAGCGGGGTCTTCCTGATACCGAAACGGATGTTGCAGTACTATCCTTTTGCTGGTCGATGAGCCTCTTCGAAACCCAAGCGGCACACACCTTCCGATATCGCAACCTGTCGTGAACAATTGTCCACACGGCTCCATAGTTGACATCCACCTTCACCGCCGACATTCGCAGGGTGATAGGCCGATCACTTCTCATAGGTCGTCCACCTTGTCGATGAGATCGCTCGTGATGACAGTGTTTGCCTGGCCTGGTCTCGGGTTCTTTGAACTGCCCTGGGTGGATCCGGCGTTGGACATGGTCTCTCTGTGCGCGGCTCTCGTGTGGCCTCTTTGGCTGCTCTAGATCTTGGGAGGGGGCGGTGCTGAACTGATTCACCCTATGGTAAAGGTACAGTGCTCGCGTCTTCCGTCAATGGAATGGCCTGGTCTCCGATCATCACCCACACTCTCACGGCCTGCACGAAAACGGGCATTCTATTTTCTGACAGACTTGTCAGAGACACGTTACGTTTTTACGTCGTTTCGTACCTTTTCATTTGATCACCCCTTGTACGTCTAAATTCCAGATGACGTATATAAAATACTAGTTACAGGTTTTAAAATAAGCATTTAAAAGAAGAGAATTTTTTTTTAGCGTTTGGTATATTTCAATGTGACTTTTGATTAATTTTTTAGAATTAAATCTCCTAGCGTAGCAATGCCCCCTCATATTTTTATTTCCTTCTGCGAAGTAAAGGAAATATTGCAATCGCGAAAAATTTCAGGTATCAGATTTAATTATTAATTAATTTGGATTCAGAAAATTAAATGGATTCAGAAGAGATTTCATTCGTGACATCTGTACGTACGTTTGAACGTACGTATGTATGTATCTCGCATGATTCAAAAGCGGCTATTCGTAGAATGCTGAAATTTTGTATATGGAACTGCTATAACATGCAGTTGTGCATCTGTCTTTTTCATCGCAATCGGCAGCACCATATATATACGTATATATCACATATACATATCACATATACATATATATTCCCACCATGTTAGTCTGCTTGGTGAGCTCAGCATTTTTACGCTTAAATGTTGGTAAACTGTGCATTTTTTGCTTTAAAAGTGGTCAGTTAATCTGAGAACAACTGTTGTAGAATTATTAAAAATTTAAACTTTTAAGTGACGCTAGGCCTAAAGAGGCCACTATTCGTTTCGATTTGAAACTCTGAATAGAATAGTGAATTAAGTTAGTTGATGCACCAACTTCAGTGCCTTTTTGCGCAGTGGGAGTAAAAAAAAAAACCTTTCAATTTGATGCATCGAAAGCTTGGTCTTTGAGCCCGTTGGCTAAATTGCTTTTTTTTCGCGTTAAAAAATCTAATTTTAATTGTAAATTCTTTTAACTATTTTAAACTGTATTTGATGTTTTAGCTATTTCTGTATTTTACAATGTTTAATGAAGATGTTTTGAGTTTTTATGTATTTTTTGCCTTGCGCGAAATGAGACCTGAATTGATTGAATGAGAAATCTATCTCAAATGTAATTCGAGGAAATAAGTTTGAATGAAGAGCAACAATAAATGTGCAAAATTTAATAGGTTGTACAAGGAAGTCGTGTGGTGTTCACACCAATTTTTTTTATCTCATCATATGTCTTCTTCTCATCATATGTCTGTTCTTTTTCACATATATAATTTATACATCTGTTTTAACATTTGCAATACTTAAGTGAGAAATATATTTTCAGAAGCCATTGACATTGTATGGTAAACCGTTCACTTCAAAACACTAGCCGATTAAAATATCACGACATTTTTGTCCAAATGTTGTATGTAAGCACACAATAAACTTCGTTCTTATACAACTAGTTTTGGAGAAAAACGAGAAATTAAAAATGAATAAAAAAATAGTTTCTTTGAAATTTTAACGTATTATTGTCTTTCAAACTCCCTAAACGTTTAGGTCGTATATAAACGTTCAATAATAGTTCTTCCAAGAGATTTTTGAATGTATATGTGTGTATGCTATTATGTAACCGAACAATTAAAGCAACGTATTGCTGCGGAATGAGTCCAGCTACAAAATAGCAGAAGCGGCTTAAAATTAAAATTGAGGAGATACATTTTGCCGAATACACTTCAGAAACGTTTTCGAGAACACGTCTTCAGACACTAAGATCATTTTGAATCACATTTAAAGATTTTTTCAGCGAAGTTTCCGTGCTACAGTCACTGAGAGATTGCTGATGCTTCTTACGAATAGCATTTTGTGCAATGACTGTGAAGCTACTCACTTGTTTTTAGTTGTTCGTTATTGCCTCTCAGAATGACCATCCTAGTCCTTCAGCCGCAGTTAGTCAAAGTGCTGCTCATAAAATTAAATTTTGCGGCTGGCAGTCCGTGCTAGCTCAACCTTAGAACTAATAATCTGAGCTGACACTGAAGTAAAATAAAAGCAAGCCACTAAAAGAAACTGTATTATAATTTAATATTTTAATAACCGTTTTTTGTATTCACTTAAGGAACTTTCAAATACTTAAAATTATTGAATCGAAATCGGTAGGCTTGTTAGAGTTTCATTGCACTGCATTATATAGGGCAGCGCGGTTCCTCTCCGACTTTTATCTTAAATCACACAAAATCTAGATCTTAAGATATTTTGCATAGAAACAAAGGCGTATATTTAACTGTAAAGAATAGATATATGACATATATTTAACCAACATACTGGGCGTCTACAATTTACTCACCGAATAAAGAAATGTTCTAAATAATACAGAATAAGAGATAGGAAAAAAAAAGGCTAACTGAATTTTATTAAGAACTTTATATTAATACTCTTCAACAAGACCACCATTAGTTGCTCGAAGAATATCAGGCCTGTTCTTGATTCCCCCCAGATGTTATAACCATTTGAGGATTTCAGATTATAAGGATTTTAAGTTTTACTAACGTTTATTTTATCTTGAAACTTTGCTATCCCCTCTTATTTTCCATTTTCGGTCAGAATAAATGCGAGTAGGATTTTTATGCTAACGAGTTTGCAAACTGTAAATGAAATTTAAGAAATGGCTTCTAGCCGAGAGAGAGAGCCTTCCAGCTGCCCTGCTACGCGCGTGCTTTTCAGTCAGTTCGTGTCTGCCTTTAAG